GCCTCAGCTTCAAGCTTCCCTGGTGTCAACTCCAGGAGGATCCTGCCAGGCCATTTCTGGAGGGCAGCACCACCCTCTGGTGCATCCCTATCTCCTCCCAGCTTGGATCAGCAGCAGACTTGCTGAGGGCACGGCCTGCTCCGCCCTGCGGATCATTCATGAAGAGGCTGGGCAGGACTGGGCCTGGACATGACATTGTTGCTACTTCGTGTCCCAGCCTCGCATCTCTAGTGGGTTTCTGTGGCAAGGTTTGGGTAGCAGGGAGCAATAGGGGTGGCTTCTGTGAGAAGACTCTAGAAGCTGCCCCATGTTAGATAAGGGCCCTGCTGCTGGCCAGAGCCAAGCCAACAAGCAAAAAAACCAACCAAAACAAACATGTCTACACAGCAGCTGGGAGAGGGAAAGGAGTGAGAAACAGCCTTGCAGCCCATGGAGTACCACAGTGGAGCAGGGGTCCATGCTGCAGCCCGTGGAGGAGACCACGGGGGAGCAGGTGGCCCTGCGCTGACAGAGGCTGAGGCCTGTGCAAGACCCCTGCCGGAGCAGATTCGGGGCCAGCCTTGTAGCCCGTGGAGAGGAGCCCATGCAAGAGCAGGGGATGGAGGGGAACTGCTGCCTGGGGGGGACCCGGGATGGAGCAGTGTGCTCCTGAGGGATGGAGCCTGTGGGACGGAGCCATACTGGAGCAGTTCTCGAGGAGCTGCTGCCTGTGGGAAGCCCACGCCGGATCAGTTTGGGAAGGACGGCACCTGTGGGAGGGACCCCACGTTGGAGCAGGGGACAAGAGTGACCGAGAAGGAGCGGCAGAGACCAAGTGCTACAGACTGACCGCAGCCCCCATTCCCCCGTTCTCCTACGCCACTCGGGGGGAAGAGGTGGAAGAGGATGGGTGGGGGAAAGGTGTTGGTGCTGTTGTTTCCTTTTGTTTCTTTGTTTCTCACTTCTCTGCTTCTCCAGCAGCCCGTGAGCCATCTCCCTGTGCCCTCCTCACAAGCCACGAGGGTTTACCCCTCGTGTTTTCTCTCCCTGTCACGCTGAGGAGGGAACGAGACAGCAGCTGGGTGGGCACCTGGCCGCCAGCCTAGGCCAAGCCACCACGGCCATTCACGGGGATGAAGAGGCTGCACCGTGGGCTTGGAAGCCCAGGGGGTGTCTGTGAGGCTGGGGGAGCTCCTGGGCCCTGCCGCATCATCCACCACTCCATGGTCTCCTAGTGACACGGAGGGATCACAACGACACCAGTGACACAGGCGAGGCTGTGAGGGACTTTGCGTCTCTGGTGAGCGCCAGGCGTGGAGGCAGCAGCTCCTGGCAGCGAGGCGAGGCCAGGCGAGGCGAGGAGTTGCTGCGCAGCATGGCTGCTGGAGAGGAGGAGAAGGCCCCTGAGGCACAGGAGGACGGTGAGAGCAGATGCCCCAGCAGCTCCCTGGAGGTGGAGGGCCCTGAGCACCCCCTGGGGCTGTGCAGAGCCGCTTGGGCTGTGGACACCCGGGGACGCCCTGCCAGGAGCCCCCGAGCAGGCCCTTGCGGGTGTCCCTCGGGGACGCCTGCCAGGTGCTCAGTGGGGGGATGCTCTCATCCATGGCTGCCGCCCTGCCTCCCCCAGAGTGCGTGCTGTGCCACCGCTCGGACACCAGCTTGGATGGCTGCGGGCCGATGTTGAAGGTGGACGGGGTCTGCGCCCACGTGCACTGCCTGGTGAGCTCCCCGCGGCTGCCCGCGCCTTTCCCCGACCCCTTGCCTGGCACCTGGAGCCCACAGGCCTGTGTCATCCCCAGCGCGCTGCTCGCTGGCTGTCACCTCCTCCTGCTGCGCTCCCAGCACAGCCTCCCCACCATGGTCCCTATCTCCTTGCCCTGAGCAGCTGCGGGGCTTTTCTGTCTTCCAGTTTCCAGCCCAGGGCCTGTACCAGCGAGGCCCTGAAGGGGAAGGAATCCTGGGATTCCGCTGCGCGGATATCAGGCGGGTAGCGGGTCGGGCAGCTCGCAAGGTGAGGGCTTTTTTGGAGCAGACGAGGCTTGTGGCAGCTGAGCCCAAGCCCTGGCAAAGAAATCCTTGAGGCTCTGGACAAGCTCCGGGCAAGTCCCAGTGGCCCCGGCCACGTCCCTGACGGGGCTGCTGTGCTCTTTGCAGCGCTGCTGCGTCTGCCGCAAGAAGGGGGCCACCGTCGCCTGCCGGCAGAAGCGCTGCTCGCGCCGCTTCCACCTTCCCTGCAGCTCCCAGCGGGGCTGCATCTCGCAGTTCTTTGGGAAGTACAGGTACGAGCTGCCCTAGCTTGGGCTGCAGCCCCCTCAGCCTGCGCCCTGCAGGCAGAGTCCCCGGTGTGGCACGCGTGGTCCCTGGCCTCACTCAACTCTTCCGTCCTCACGCAGCTCCTTCTGCTGGGAGCACCGCCCGCAGCAGACCGTGGAGACGCTGCAGGAGGGGCACACCACGTGCATCATCTGCATGGAGGTGGTGGAGGACAGCCTGTCCTACACCACCATGGTGTGCCCCTCCTGCAAGCACGCCTGGTTCCACCGGGGCTGCATCCAGGTAGGAGGCCCTTCCCTCTGCCAGCCCGCAGGGACACCATGCGCCCGCAGCGGCGTCCTGCTCACACGGGGAGTCTCTCTTCCACAGGGACAGGCGCTTCGGGCGGGCCTCAGGCACTTTGCGTGCCCTCACTGCCGGGACTGGGAGCGCTTTGTCCCTGAGATGCTGCACATGGGAATCTGCGTGCCCAACAAGTGCGTTCCTTCCTTCCTTCCTTCCTTCCCACCCCACTCAAGGCAGGAGAGGGCACAGCCCCAGGCCCTAATCCCTCCAGGCAGACTGTCCCCAACAAAAGGGGCTGCCTGCCTGGGGGACAGGAGGACGCTGGCCTGCTGCCAGGGATGCCCCTGAGCCCTGTCCCAGCATCAGCACTGACACTTGCTGAGTGCCCCATGAGCTCGTGACCTTTCTTTCCTACTTTCTCTTGAAGAAAGCCGGCTTGGGAGCAGGAGGAGGAGCTGGCACTGCCACAGCTGCATGGCCGCTGCGATGCCAGGCAGTGCCTGTACAGGGGAGGCCGGGAGCAGTGGGAAGAGGAAGGGTGAGCATCCACAGCAGCAGCTCCCCGGCTGCTGGGGGCTGTGAGCCACATCTCCAGCAAGCCGTGCAGTGGCTGCTGGGGCTCTGCCCAGGCACCTTCCCCTCTGCTGGGGCGCCATGAGCAATGGTTCTGGAGCCCTGGGGGCCTTTGTGGCGCCACTGCCTGCTGGGCTCTGCGTGCTCACCAGCACAACTTCTTCCCCAGGCCCTGGCAGCTCCTGCTCTGCTCCTCCTGTGCCGCCAGCGGGACCCACCGCCGCTGCTCCGGCCTTGCGGACACCACCCAGCAGTGGGAGTGCGCTGGCTGCGCTGGCCCGGGCACGGGTAAGGGGCACGGCGCGCTCAGGCTCGGGGCGGCAGAGCCCTCCGGGCCCTCTCAGGGAAGGACCGCAAAGCTGGGGCCTCTGCAGGCCAGGCAGGGTGGGCAGATCTGCTGACCTTCCTGCCTCCCCTTGCAGCTCCCAGCTCCTCTCCCTCACCACCGGAGAGGAGAGCCGGCCGTGGCAGGGTGCTGCCCCAGCGCCACAGCCCCTACAGCCGGCCACAGCCCTGAGCCTGCAAGCACGCCTGGTTCCACCGGGGCTGCATCCAGGTAGGAGGCCCTTCCCTCTGCCAGCCCGCAGGGACACCATGCGCCCAAGCAGCGTCCTGCTCACACGGGGAGTCTCCCTTCCACAGGGACAGGCACTTCGGGCCCTTGCTCTGCTTCTCCTGTGCCGCCAGCGGGACCCACCGCCGCTGCTCCGGCCTTGGGGACACCACGCAGCAGTGGGAGTGCGCTGGCTGCGCTGGCCCAGGCACTGGTAAGGGGCATGGGGTGCTCAGGCTCGGGGCGGCAGAGCCCTCCGGGCCCTCTGCAGGCCAGGCAGGGTGGGCAGATCCGCTGACCTTCCTGCCTCCCCTTGCAGCTCCCAGCTCCTCTCCCTCACCACCCGAGAGGAGAGCCGGCCGTGGCAGGGTGCTGCCCCAGTGCCACAGCCCCTACAGCCGGCCACAGCCCCGATCCCGGCCTGGGGACAGAAGATCCATCGTGGTGTCCCGCTGCCAGACAGGGTCAGGCTGTGCACTTGCGGGCGTCCTTCACGGAGAGGACCTCAAGGAGGTGCTCAGTGGGGGAACGCTCGCACCCAAAGGCAGGCGAGGGGTGGCACTCAGCTCCTGCCGAGATGAGGGGATGGAGCTGAGACACGGCGAAGGAGCTGGGACTTGCTGAGGAGGAAGAGCCATGGAGCCAGGATAAGAGATGGAGGCGAGACCAAGCCTGGAACTGGATGGGGAGATGGAGCTGGGTCTCCGCGACAGAAATGCGCCTGGGTGATGGAGCCAGGACGGAGATGGAATTGGGATGGTTACAGAGCCACGCTGGTAGGGAGAGAGCTTGGGCAGGAGATGATCCCTCAAGCTGGAAGGGACCCCCCAGTGCTCTCCTATGTTTGTAAACTGTCCCTACAGCGCAGAGGCAGGTAGTTAGCCTAAGCCAGAGCCTGAGAACAATGTTTACCAGGAAGAACAAAAACAGCGCACAAAGCTGACCCAAAGGAGAAAACAACTCCCTTGTTTCCCATTCTGCTCTTTCCCTCAGCCACTCAGCACACAGTGTGCTGCAGCTCGCTTGCATTTTCCTGTGCATTTTCTTGTACAAATAAAGTGTGTTTGGTTTCTTGTCTATGTGATTATCACTTCTTGAACACTCAAAGACATAAATACACACAAAACACCCACCCCACAAAAAAGAAAAAAGAAGAAAGGAGGCACTGCTATTTAAGAAAACAGACCTGACCACCAAGCAGGAAGGTGACCCCCAGTGCTGTGCTCAGCAGAAGCAGAGCCTCAGCACGTGGGCACTTGAACAACTCTGAGAAGAGTCAAGGCAGAGACAGACCAACCAAATCAGGACTGGAGCACAAACAAACATTTAGCCAAAGACTTTTTTTTTTTTTTATTAAAGGAATATATTTATGAAAGAATAACTTAAAAGCGGTTGTGGCCTTGAACTACCTTCTCCTACCAGAAGCTGATGCTCAGCCTCCGCTTTGGAAGAAGGCTCTATACAGAGTTACCACCCAAAGACAGCAATATTCTCCTTTCAGCATTATGGATTGAAATACGGTGTCCTGTGAAGGGGCTCCAGCAAAGAGAGTTCACGCAAAACAAGATGCAGCAATGGTCTGGCTGCAAATAGAAGGATAGATAGAAGGTACTTCATCAATATAAGCCTCCCCACCTCCCATAGGGACACAACACCTCCTGGCTTGGTCTGGAGGCCAGCCTCACCTCAGCTCTCCCTTGCAGTCACCAGCCAGCCTGGAGCTTCCCCTACACAGGAGGCCACAGCCCCTTCCTTGCTCAGGACCACCCCCAAGCACTCCCAGCTGCAGAGGAAAGGGCCAGGTGCCCACAAAGACACACCAGGTTCACAAGACTACAAGTGCCAGGCCCAGCCCCATCGCAAGCACAGGTCTTTGCAGAAAAGGCTGTTCTTGCTCTTCCCATCACTACTAACCCTTGAGAATGCGACAGGGAGGCAGAGGATGCCCAGAAAGAAGGGAGAAGAACATAACACACCAGTTGAGCGATTAAGGAAGCATCAAACCAGAGATGTCTGCAGAGGACAGAAAAGCTCTATCAGGAACCATTCAGTCCCTCCTTCCCTCAAACAAGAGGAAGCAAGAAAAATGGAGGAAAAGCTTCAATGCAATAAGACCTTGCAAATCCAGTACGGCATCCTAGAAAGCAATCATCCTCACAGAAAAGCCATGCTGAGCTAGTACCCTAACAAAGGACAAAGCTGCTGGGCAGGGTGACTGCCTGGTGTTTTAAGGCTGTTTGTTGTTCAGGAAAGGGAAGCCGAATAGCCCGCATGACACCAGGGTCTCATCTCCCACATGGCCAGCACTAACGCTGCTGCAACATTTCCCTTTGGATAACCAACACTCCTGGCAAGAGCAAGGGTCCTTTGGAAAGTTGAGGTCTAACGTATGCTGAGTTAAGATACCACCACCATCACTTCCAGCCTCCAAATAGGCAGCCAAGCCGCTGCAAGAGCCAGAGCAACAAGCACTCTCTGAGTGAGAGCACGCATACAGCAGCACTTTGGCTTCAACCACCACAAAGAAACACTGGAAAAAAATCACATTTCCTTCTGCACCAAGCATCTTTTTTCAGGGAGGAATCACGCTCGCACATGAGTGTGCTACCTGCCCAATATTCTCTCTCACTTTGTTGCAACTGCTGATTACAAACACAAAAAGGTCTCTTTATTGCAGTCACTAGGGAGGAGACGGGCAGGGGATTGCACAACAAACAATCTGGCATGACAAATCTCACCAACAACATAGGCATCTATCTAAAAATGCCTCTTCCTCATTGCTTGAAGCCAAGACCCTTCTGTAACTATCATATGGAAAGCGTGCATTCATGTCTGTCAGAGGAGAGGGAAACAAGCTTTCAGGTCGTAGCCCCCATTTAAAAGAAAAACTCCCAAGAACCATCCAACAGAAGAAATCACCCAAGGACAAAGGCACCGCAGCCAGACACCGGCAGTGCACAGTGACAGAGGTAGATGAGCCAGCCTGCTTTGGGGATTTATTAAGTCGCTCCAGTCCCACAGAAACTGGACTGCACCAGTCTGGAAGAATGGGGAGGTAGGAGATGGAGGAAAACAGCTTTTTTTACTCGCCTCAGCAACTGCACAACAGAAAGAGTCTGTGTACTTTGCCAGGGCAGCAGGTAAGTAAGCAGAAGTAACAGGGATGCAACGCTAAACCAAAGCAGAAAAGGACAAAGATTCCAGTCCCTAGAAGACTCACCTGGCAGTGCTCTTGTCCCTAATTTGCCTGGCAGCTGTCACATGAAAAGACCAAACACTTCAAGGAAACACAGAAGCCCATAGGGTAAGCATCCCAGAGAAAGATGAAGGAAGAAGGAAGAGCAAAAAAAGGTTGCAGCGTGATGGACACAGTCAGAGAAATCACACCAGATATTACATTACTCCCAAGGCCATAAGCAGCAGAGGAAGACACCGCAATGCTTGTTTCCAGCTTTTTCTAGAAGAAATTTCCAGAAGTATCTTCTACAAGATGAGATTTAAGCGCCTCAAACCATCTCTTTCCTTTCACTCTCCACGTGTCCCACCCACCCAGCCTCCCCACATCTCTCCCTCCTGCCCTGCCCTTCTCCATTCAAGCGATCTTGGCCAGCCACTTCTCAAGGCCCTCGAAGTCAGCATCTCCCTCCTCTCCCTTGCTGCCACGGGCGCTGCACTCCACAAACTCCACCCTCATTGGCAGCTGGGAGAAGTCAAAGTCCTTGCCCTTCTTTCCCAGCTGAGCGGGGCCCCCTACGGCGGAGCCATCCAGGCTGGTGGGGGCTGCAGAGCGGGTCACTCGTAAGGTGTTGCTGCAGAGAGAGAGAAAGGAGAGGATTAAGAACCAGTGAACCAGAACAAATTACCTGTGTGACAGCTGCTGAGATGTGGTCTCTGCACGAAGTGAATCTTATCCATCAATGTGATCAGCCTGCCAAGAGCACAGATGGATACAAACCAAGCACGTTAGAGGGAGCAGAATTATTGAGCTGTGCATTAGCAAATTCATTCATTCCCAGGTTTGACCCCTCTTCAGCAAAAACATGCGAATCCGATGCAAACATGAACCTGGAGGCACTGCAGGCTGTACTAGACTTAATTTAGGATGCTGAGGGGAAAAAAAAAGCCAAAAACATTTGAGTTGCAATGGGTGGGGGCAAATTGGTGGGAAGGGCTAACGCAGGGAAGTGCTGCTGCTCAATTCCTCAGCAAGGCATGACTTCCAACCACAAGTGTCAATTTGGAGAGGGAAGCAGAACTTCAGAAGAGGCAAAAACCTGTTCTCATTCTAGGGAATGAGCCTGGACTGCGAGAGCTGCTTGTCTGACTGCAAGTGCCTGAAGTTAAAAGGCCCACAGCGCTCAAGACCTCCACTAGTTCAACAGGTCATCTGGGCAGGGTGAGGCACCGTGATATCGGGGATCACGCACTGTGATTTGACTGCCTCCCAAAAGCCAGGCTAGGGAAGACAAACAGCAATCTCTGCCCAGGATTTCAGCTGCCTTACAGAAGGGAGGTTAGGCACTCAGCAGTGAAGAGGAAGCGGTACAAATCACCCTGCTGCCATCTACCGGCCAAAAAGCAGGGCAACGAGACAGCTGCATTCCAGGAACACGCGTTAGTTTGGAGACTTTTAGGTAAGGACTGGGATGTTCTCCACACTACAGCTTCTAGCAAGGAACACACTGCCTTTTTTTTTTTTTCCCCAAGACTGCAGCAGTCCTAGATCAAGCAATCTTCTCTCATCCTGATTACACCTACACAGACAAAACAGAATGCTCTTTATCTTCAAAGAACAGATGTGGCTCAAGGGGCTCACTGAGCATTGGCAGAAGAGACAGAAAGGAGAAGGAAAGAAATGCACAGAGAGGTTTAAGATCCAATTTCACACTTACAGCTCTTTCTCCAGCTGCTGTTGAATAAGTTTTGCTGATTTTGCCATTGTGACATCTAGACAGAGAAGAGAAAAGGAAATTAGCTCTTTGGTTTTGTCAGAGGTCAGAACCTGCTTCAGGCTCCTAACGTTACAGCAAGGCCTGCTCACACCGTGCTGTCGTTAGACCTAATGGCACAACAACAACAGTGTCTGTGCTAGGATAATGGAGAGAGGAGCTTTGTGTCCATGAGTACGAATGGCAGCAAGTCAAGTGCCTGATACAAGGCAGAAAATTTATTTTTTTTCCTCATCGTCTGAAAGCACCAAACCTGATTCTGGCAAAAAGCTTCTGATTAACTTACAGGGATCCACACCTCCACGGGGAAAGCTGTAGAGACCTGAAAATCTAGCAGCACTCCTAAGTTGTGATTTCACTGTCACATATGGCCGTTAACCCCAACAGTCACTCAGGGACTGAACATCCTCCACTCCCACCTTCAGGACTCCCACAATACCTTGCTTGTTGCAAGCTATCAGCAGTGCGGGCGCGTTTTTGAGCACTGTGCTGTCGACCAGGACCTGGTACAGGAACTCTGCCACATCCTTCACCTCCCGCTGGAAAGCTACGCTGTCCACCACAAACACAATGGCTCTGGAGGAGAGAGAAGGGAATAGGTGCTGGGCACAACCCTCTGTCATCACCTTCCCCTGCAAATATGGCAGCCTAGGCCAAGACAGCTGTTTCCACACCCAACCTCATTCAACCTAAAAGCAGGTCAGGACATGGGGGCTGATACACACCCCGTGTTCACACCCAGCAGGAAACCTGTCCCTCTCTGTCCCAAAGACATACCGCATTCCCAAACCCTCCCTGCTGCATTTGCTTTGCCTCCTGATGCACTACAAAGGCAGGCAAGTGGGGGAAGCAGAACCCCCAGTGCCTCAAAGCAGAGCTGACTCTCAGGACACACACACACACCACCCAGCGCACGGCACCCTCACCTGGCTCATCCCTGGCAATAAATAACATTCCCCATGTCCTCCTCCCCTGCCAACCACCTGCACCTTACCTGGCTGCAGCCTTGAACCTCTCCAGGAACTGAAGCCGCAGGCTCTCGTGGCCTGGGAGGTCGATTAAAGTCACATTAGCGTTCTAGGAACAGAAGCGAGAGGTTGTTAGCAACACCTGCACCTGGGGAAAACCAGTCTGATGGCGGGCTCCAGCTGGGGCAGCAGTGGGGAGTGACCCCCTACAGCACAGAAGCACGTAACACTCCCCTGGGTGCAGTCTCTCCATCGGCCCAAACAATTATGACAGGCTGAGGTGCTGTCTTAGAACCAGCGAGGAACAACACTCGCAGCCAGGACTTGGTAAGGAGAGAGCGACACCAGCAAACTGCCCAGCAGAACAGTGAGGACGGAGCACAACCGCGCAGAAACGAGCACGCTCCACCCTCTCCTCCTCCAGACAGCCCTCCCTGCAAGCACCACGCACACAGTGTGAGTGGCAGAGCTGTAGGAAGGCTGCCTCACTCGGTAAAGAGCAGATTTACACCATCTCTGTTGGTGAATAAACCTCTGTACAGCAAAACCACAGCCTCCCGCTCTGCATCGAGACATCTATTCAGGCAGACAAGCTACCCAACTGCAAGCCAACCTAAATGCACACAGCTTTGTTAGGAAATAAGGCAAAAGCAGCCTTGCAAGATACTTCTTCAATTAAAAGCAGCAATCACTTCTCTTTCCACGGGCAGCCAGCCAGCCAAAGCAGTGACATTAAGGAGAACGAATGCCTCTCGCAGGCTCCTGACAGATGTGACCACAGAGGGCCACGTCACCGTTCTCAGCATAACACGTGCTGTTCCCGAGAGGGGAAAAACCGCTACACGGGATCCTGTCTGCTCACTGCTTTCGGATTTTAATGGAAACCTTTGATCAGAAAAACAGCAGCCTGTCTTACAGCATTCCATCACCCCAAGTATCTATCTGCTCAATCTTCAAGAGATGTTAACTTAAAGAAATAAAAAGCCCTGCAATTCTTTTTACTAAGTTTTTAACCCCTTATTATTACCTTTGTTAACACAGATTGCCACAGAAAAAGCAGAAAAGCATCTACCTTTAAAATTCACCAGCAGGTAACATGCTGTCAGCTCATGCTTTCACTGCCACGTGTGCACCCGGCAAGAAAAAGAAACCCTTCTGAAACTAAAGAGATCATCGTAAATGGAAAATAACCGCAGCAGCCTAGCATCTGGAAATAACCAACCCCTTCTGGGGGCCAGATGAAGTTCAGCTGAAGGCCATTTTTAAGCCTGCAAACCTTCCAAATACGGATTTTCTTGGGAGTGAAATGAATGCCAAGCAAATAAACTCAACGCAACAGAACAACACTTCCTCACAACTCTTCCTGCTCCGTGCCAGACCCCTCTCTCCACTGCATATTTTACTCAGTGCTGCATGTTTTACTCAGCTTTAAAAGCTGCTCCTTTTCCTCTTGTAAAAATAATAAAAATAAAAAGGAGGAAAAAGAAACACCTCTGCAGACAAGGAGCCCCCAATACCTGCCAACCTTCTCCTGCCTGCACACCGCCTAAAGGAATCCTTCCCTGCTGAGGCCGAGCAAAGGGCTGGCTCCGAGCTGGAAGCTGGCAAAGCACAAAAGCTCCCGCAGCGCTGGGAGGCTCACTCACCTTGTCGCTGCTGACCCTGTAGACGGCAGAGCTGTCGGTTATCGACGTCTGCGTGTCCCGGTACTTGCCCGTCAGCAGCTGCGGGGAGGAAAAAAAAACAAAAAACAAGGAAAAAACAGAACCAAATGACGAGAGGGAGTTAAAGGGAGGGCAGAGCCTTCAGGGAGCCTCGTGGCCGGCCCGTCCCGCACTCACCCTGGCGAACAGCAGCGTCTTGCCCGCGTCGCACAGCCCCAGCAGCAGCACGGCCCTGCGGCCGCTCCTCCCGGCCTGCGCGAGCCTCCAGAGCACTGCGGGGCACAGCGAGGCCGGCCTCAGACACCGGGGGCCTCGCCGCGCCCCGCACCCCCCCGCACCGCCCCCGCGACTCACGGAGCGTGAGGGCGACCAGGAGCAGCGCCAGCAGCACGGAGAAGGCGGCGGGGCCGGGCGCCTGCAGCTCCCGCCGCAGCGAGTCCAGGTACGGCTCCAGCGCCCCCGCCATGGCCGCGCCTCGCCTCACCGCGTCCCGCCTCGTCCCGCCGCTGCTGAGGCGCCGCCGCGGGGGCTGCTGGGAGTTGTAGTCCTGGGCTGGCGGGGGCGGCGCCCTGAGGGTTTTCCAGGGCCAACCCCTGCCCAGGGCCTCGTCCAGTTTGGTCTTGGGTGTCCCCATCGGGAGTTGGGCTCGGTGGGCCTTGGGATTGAAGAATGGGGGCTTGCTTGCTCGCATTAAAATAGATATTGCTGAGTGTCTTTGCTTACTTAATGCCATTAAAATCGATACTGCTGCGTGTCTTTGCTTACTAACCAAAGTAAGGAATCTCGCAGCCCCTCACAGAAGGCGGTTTCCTGACAAAAATGGGGAACCTGCCTCAAAAACCGTCCCAGACCCACCTTGTGGTTTGGACAAGAGCCAAGGAGCAGCTCAGTCTGTGCCTTTGTACAGGGGGCCAAGCAGTGGTGATGAAGACGAGTTCTCAGCCTTCATCCCCACGGCCCCCCGACGACCACCACCACACAGGCACAGATGGGAGGACTTTATGGAAATAACTGCTTGGAGCTAATTTTAATACAAAGCGGGGATATATTATGAATATGTATGGGCGCATTGGGAAACTTCATGCATATGTAACTTTTTACTGCATATAACCAAAGCAGGTTGCCGCGTTAAGGTGCACGTGCCTTTGGGAGCTATCCTGCATGTGCCCAGCCCCAAAATAAACCACATACCTACTTTATAACTTATTTGCTTTGGGTTATAGAGTTCTTCCACAGATCATCCGGATCCCCTCCGACTCGGGATATTCTCTGATTCTATGATCTCCAGGGATGGGGCATTCACAACCTCTCTGGGCAACCCGTTCCAGTGCCTCACCACCCTCTGAGTGAAAAACTTCCTCCTGATATCTAACCTAAATCTGCCGTCTTTGTTTAAAACCATGCCCCCTTGTCCTGTCACTATCAACACGTATAAACAGGCGTTCCCCCTCCTGTTTACACACTTCCTTCAAGTACTGGAAGGCCACAATGAGGGGCAGGGATGCCCAGAGGGGGAAAGGGACACAGGTGAAGAAGCAGAGGGAAGAGGCCACCATGGAGAGATGGCAAAAAACATCCCAAATTGGTTAAAACTGAATGAGCATCATCCCCCAGCTCTGCTGGAGGTCTGGAGGGTGGCTGCAGGCAGAGCCGCTGCTGGCAGAGCTGCTGCTGGCACCCTGAAGGCTCTTCCCACTGCCAGGTTGTCACCAGAAGGTGACGGAGTGGTGGTGGGCATGGGTAGCCGGCATCTGCCCAGGCAGCAGAGATGTCAACCGCATCCCTGGAGCACAGCCGGGTTGGGGTGGTGATTGCTGGCCTCTGCCTAGCACTTGTTAGACCACACCTAGCTGCTGTGGCCAGGTTTGGGCCCCTACTTCAATGAGACCTTGGTGAACAAAAGCAAATTCAGCAGAGAGCCACCAGCATGACCCCAGGGGCTGAGGGACCAGGGTTTGTTGAGGCTGGAGAAGAGATGGCTTCAGGGCAGACCTGGCACCAGCTGCCACATTTCTTCCAGGTGGCAGGAAGATGGATCCAGGCTCTTCACGGTGGTGCAGAACAAGAAGCAAGGGAAGCATATTGAAACAAGAGAGGTTCAGACTGGATATGAGATAAACTTCTTCCCCTCAGGACAGGCAATCAGTGGGACAGACTGCCCAGGAAGGTTGTGGAATTTTGTTCTCGGGGAAAGCTTTCCACCTGTAGCAGTAGTTAGCTGTAGAAACAGGCTCTTTTAGGGACACTGTCTCTCTTTGCTGATTCTTAAGAACAGATTAAACAAACCATCTGTCCAATATACTTGAACCTACAAAAGTTCAAAGCACAGAATATCATTGTTTCCACTTTAACTTTCTGTCTTCAGAAGTGATCTTTAGTTAGGCTAGTGGATGTCTTGCAATATGTGCCATATGCATTCAAATATCATCACTGCAAATCCATCAAAATATTAATTCCTGCAAAAACAGGAATTCAACATTTTTCTGTCCTCAGCAGTTCTTCTATGCCTGCCTCGAAAAGAGGGTTACTACCTGCTGGTTTTGTTTGTGTGTTTGTTTGCTTTGTAGCTCAGCAGAAGCTCAGCAAAATGCAGGTTTCCAAACAGGTCCTCAATTTTTCTCATGAAAGGAAGTCTAAGCCTGGGCTCTCCACAGCGACATACTGCATTTTAAATGTACTGCCTGGTGGAAATAACTCTGCTTCTGCACTATTCATATCCACCCAGCTGAGATATGAGATGGAGTGGTTTCCATTCACACCTTCCATCTTACAACCACTATATTTTTGTGTTTTTGTTGCTGTTGTTGCTGTTGTTTTTTTATACTCTCTACCATTCAGCTTCCCTCACATAAACACTCTCTGTCTTTCTATATCCCAAACACAATGGGCAGCTGTTGTCTCCCGGGGAGATAATGGGATAATCTGGGTAAAGCGGAAGCACAGATAATATAAAATGTCTGTTAATTAGACTCTAGGACACCTTTAATCCATTTTGCTTTAGAAAATATTGAAAGGAATTTCGCTATTGGGCAACAATAGCCTTGAATGGCAATAGCCAGATTGGAGTCTGCCACTGGCCTGCAGCAAGAGGTGCCAGGGAAGGAGTGGGCATAATAACTACTTTGAGAAATCTCAGGAAACCTCTTTAGACTTCGAGATTTTATTCCTTGCTGTGACAGCAGCAGAAAACCGTGAAGTTTCAAATAGCCACTTTCAGAGTGATGGAGAAGGGCAGAGGAAGCAGTGAAGGCAGAGGGCCCTCTGTGGGTCAGTGTTGGAGCTGAGGGCACGAAAGGAGTCACGGCACTAGGTTTCCTCCCCCTTCAATGAGGGCCCTTCCCATCCTGTTACTTGTCCTCAAGGAAGGTGCACACCTGGAGGAGATCTGAAAAGGGAAAGGACAAGGAGGAATTCAGACCTTGCATTTAAACAGAACACGCAACATCGCTCCCGTCCCACCAGTGCACAGCCAACTGTGCCAGCATTGTCACACCGTGGAAAACATATCCACCATACCACCAGAAGTGAGCATTAACCACAGATCACACTGAACACAGACTGACAGGACAGGGTGGGTTCTTTTTACCACTTCTCAAACTCCATGTTTTCTAAAGGTAATTAAAAATCTTTCATCCCCATTGATGCCAGAAGAAGTTTCCAATCTGGCAGAAGTTAGCTCAGGAAACTCTGGGAGAAGTATACTGGAAGCTTTATGAGTTATCCTCATTTTTCTTTAAAAAAATGGACATAAATTTCTTTAAATGGACAGCAACAGAAATAACTGTCCATATAGCTGATGCTAAGAACTGTGATTCACTGACTTTGTCCTGAGGCTGTTACATTTACCTGATGGGTTGCAGGTATTGAGGCTAGCAACTGAAGCATAGTATTCATCTCCGAGGAACTCCTTGTATGTTATTCCTTGGCGGAGTTTAACCAGGCACTTGGTCAAGTCTTTAAACAGAAGATCCTTGGTTTGAGACTGAAACATCATGAATCTCTCTTTCTCGGTTCCATGTAATCCAAACAGTTTCTGAAATAAGGCATGAAGCGGTAAGTGTATGTAAAAAGTAGAAAGAAAGCAAGATTCAGCTTGTACAAGCCTCACTTTTAGTACTACTTCTTCACCACAAACTCCTTGTCCTGGGGAGCGCCCAGTCAAGCTCCAAAAGTTTAGGCCTGAATCTTCTGTCCGTGTGACTAGGTGGCAGGACTCTCACTGGTAAGCAGCACACTTGTGGCATGACCGGCAAAACAAAAATTTTTTCTTTTTTAGTATTTCACTATATGCTGATCCCACTGGGAGGAGCTGCCAGCAGGTTCTGTGCCTTCACCATGAGCTGAAAGCAAAAGGAGCTGACTTCCAAAGTGTCTCTTAACAGATCCAGATGGCGGAGAAAATCTCAGCATTGTTGGTGTGAAATCAAAAAGAGCTGACATAACCTGGTTATGCTGACAGCAGTAGCTGGAGGACTGTGTGTGTACCAGCGGGGCTGGATGGCTTGCTGCTTACCTTGTGCCTGACACAGCTGGGTCAGAGATCAGGCACCCCAGAGGAGTTTCCAAAACACAGCTGTAAGTTCAGAAGGGATGGAGGGAGGGGGAGACTAAGGGACAAGGCTCTGACCCCATATCAGTAAGTCAAAATCTTCCACATTTCACTCACTTGGAGAGCATCATTGCTCTAAAAATGTAAACGTGTTGTGTAAAAAACCACCCCAGAACATTCCTCCCACTGTCAGTACCACTAACCTCTTGTCCCTCCAGCAGCTCACGGATTTTGTTTGCTTTCTCGGGGCGTGCGACCACAGCATGGGTAGGAACTTTGGCCAGGTGGCAGGTCTTGTAATCCATGGTGTTTGCCCGTTTCCCATTAGTGCACAACAACTCGAAGTCATCCCTTGTCAGACCTTTGGCCCAGTCATCTTTATTGCTGCCTATGAAGAGAATTGGTTTGGAGATTCAGAGATCTTGTATAGTAGAGGCATAATCACCCTCTCAACACCCAAGCAAAGCATTTGTCCCTGCACGTGTGTGCACTGACACTTAGATACTTCGCTTGTACAAAAGAAGCCATATGGAGTTTGTAATTAACAGGCCATCAGAATAATTGTGCAGCTGAAGTCAGTGTTTTGGGAATGAAAATAACGCAGATGGGGGAAGCAGTCCTGCCAAGTCCCATGCAAGAGGATAACCACATACCATCAACGTTTTCGCCAACAGTTGAATGCTTAATAAAGGCCACATCACCCTGCTCAACCAGACACCTGTGAAGTACAAAGAAAGGCAAGTGATATGGGTGCCGGAGTCCTGGTCCTTTCCCACAGGTTGGATTCTGACCTGTATCTTACTTTGTGAAATTAGTCTCTAAAGATAGTCAGGTCTAGGAGCCCTGCCATGAATATTTTAAGGATATCTGAAACAAAATCTTTTAACACATCCTGGAAAAACACACGCATCCTTTTAACATACTAAGTAACTGATGTATTTTGTTGTCAGAAAGAAGTAGTTCAGCCAAGAGCAGAATTTGCGTTGTTTTCTGCAGTGCCTGGCTGCACCTTTCAATAGCCGTGTAAAAAGTCAAACTTGCACCAAAATGACTGCAAATCCTGCAGGAGGGTCTCTTTGCTACTAGATGTAACTGAAAATAAATAAATAAATAAATAAATTCTCTTTTTAAGTTTGTGCCCAATACAAATTACTTAGACTTGATCTGCTACTGGTTGGTACAGAGGAGATGGCACTGGGGTTGACCTCTGGTCCCTTCTCTTTTTAGGGAATTGTTCATTTTAACCAAGGCAAGCAGCATTTTTAACAGGGAGCATCCAGTGGCAACATTGTTTCTGGGTTTCCACTTCTTAACATTCTTTATTTTACATAATTTGTTATGTAACTAAGCGTGACACCACTGTCATTGTAGGAGCTCTGGCCAAAATGCTCATGTCTCTCCCAGTTTGCCTGGAAGGACCAGGACATTCATTTTTACAGAATGGATACATTTTGCACCTACACTGGAGAAAAGGAGAAGAGATGGTGGGAAGACAGCTGCATAAAGAAAAATCATATGGAGTACGTAAGTAATATTGCAGACTTATATACCTGCAGCAGTGTTGTGGAGAAAAAGAAAAGGTCAGCGGACTAGTGTCAGCATGAGGCCAAACCCCATGCACGATCTACCCATCACCTCTCTGATCTGCCCCCCAGGTACCTGAGCACTTTCCCCACCTACCGTAAAGCTCCAGTATATCCATAGTATTTCTCGTGGCTGCTGGCGACACACTTCTCCAGCAGGTTTTCCCCTGAACCTTGGCACAGCTTGCAGAGGCGGGAGTTAGGAGGAGAACCAGGAGCACAGCCCTCACTGAAGTAATCATCTGAATAAAACAGGAATAAAATAAATTTACTTTTCCTGCACTGGAAAACTGGGGTTTCTTTTCATAATATGTTCTTGTGGTGATCTTATATGAGCAGGCTGAGGGGACTGGGAACAGGCTGCGATGCAAGGAAGAGCTTGCCTCAGCAGACAGCACATCACATGCATCACGCTTTGAGTAGGAATCTTGTCCCTTGGTGTGATTGATGATCTTGGCATTGAAAGAAGAATGTGTCTTCTGCAAACCATTCCCAGCTCGTGTGGAACCAGCCTTTCTGGGCAGGCACGACTGTGTTTGGCAGCAATATGAGAACTTAGGGGGAAGAAGGGACATTAGGAAAGGCAGGTAGGAGGATGGAGAGGCAGAGTCTAAAGCTTAATAACAATAGTATGTTCTTGAGATTAGATTTGCTGATAATAATTATATGCATAATTTGCCTTGGTCCATAATATCTCCATATTATTTTTGTTGGACCATAATTCTCACTGACTGAAAGTTGGGTATAGAGGCTGCTCTTCTGAGCAATGCAGACTTTTTACCCACTATTCTCAAGGGAGTCAGATCAGTCCCTTAATGTTTCTTGAACTGAGAGCAGCCTCTATCCCCTATTCTCAGCCCTTCTGGGATTCAGAAATCTATCCCTTACTCCTACACAGAGTCCTGCACAAGGAGCAGCCCCCCTGTACCTGGGGCAGCCTGTGTTCTCATTTTGGGAATGCCTTTTGGGCTGCTGAAAGGGGAAGGGGAAAGAAGTGAAAAAGTGAAGCCCCCACAAAACAGCTGATGTGCCGTATCCTAGTCAGAATCAGTCACCAACAGCCTGAAACTTTGCTCACTGAAACCTTAAATAACAGACTCATCTTCATTTCCTTCTCCAAGTGAGAGTTTTCAAGGCACAAGAAGATCAGAGGAGGCATGGCAAAACGTTTTTGCTCGCAGGTTTCTAACTCAGACAAATGAATGTATGTCTTGACTCACCAAAATCGCAGCTCCCGGTTTTGTTGTGAATCAAGCCCATGGGGATGTTCCAGCCAGCAGTTCTCCCAACAGCGGTGTGGCACGACTTCTTGCCTTGCAGATTGTTCCATGTGATGGCACTATCAGATTTCTTCACAACAGCCACAGCAAAGTATGATGCTTTTGGAAGGAAAAGAAAGGAGAATTAAGGACTGACCCAAGGATCCCACTGTGCTCCCTTACCAGAGTATCAGCTACACTTAGGAGAGGGCAGCTACGCACAGCGTAGCAGAAATATTTTGTCCTTATGAAGGACTGGCCACACAGCAACAGAAAAACAGTTTGCAGATGTGATGCATCTATTCCCACCATGCTCCTGGGAAATTATTACCCCTGACATTTCTCCCCCACAAAACTGGCACTCAGGTATGCAAGAAGGCTGTGGCAAGATGCACACGATGCGTGCCTCCCCATTTCATATCCTCTTTAGCAAAGGACAAAACCTTCCCTCCTCTCTCTATTTCTATAAAACACAATTCCCCAGTGCTACAGCCCAGTCCCTCTTTCTCTGTTTGCAGCCCTGGCAATGTCACAGTGAGGCCATGAGAGCACAGTGTGCTCCAGCAACTCTGCACAAATCTCTGCTGCTGCCATATGCTTTGCCTTGTTATCTGCTTGCAGACCCAGAGTTTCCATTTAAACGTTAATTTCTCACCCAGATTTTTCACCTCTGTGTTGTACACAGTGGCTTTTACAAAACTTTGTGTGGCCATTAATTCTCAGCTCATGACTGTATATGTATTTTTCCTCTTATATCTGAACAGACAATTGTCTGTCCCTCTGTTGGCAATAATTACCTGGTTGTCCTTCGTCTTTGCTGCACTGGCTGTCCTCTGAGGGAAAGAAAAAGAAGCTATTAGATAAAACATATGGTAAATCCAAAAATAAGTCAAGCTCACTATTTTCTGGAGAAAGTTCATTCTAGAAGTGGCTATTTAAGGTTGCATTGAGCAAATTGGCAGAACAAAGGACAGCCTCTCTCCGTTCTTCAGTGCTAAGACAACTAGTTTCACCAAGGCCAGTGCTAAAGGACAGGGGCATCATGATTAAAATGAAGAAGATAGGAGCTGGAGGTGATCACGATCCTGATTTTTCAGTCATGTAGCATCAAGTAGAGCTGCCCTGCACATCATGTGTTTTCTGCGGGGTGCAACACTGAGGCTGCTTTCTAGGTTTGAGAATAAACCTGATGCTTTTGCACCTACCCCTTCCCCAGCACCAGGACTGCACTTACCCTCGTAGCTTTCTCCCACCACTGGCACCAACCCACACACGCCAGCAGTGTAGACAAAACCTCCATCTAGGCTGATGGCATCCGCTTCACCTTTCTGCAATGAAAACCGCATAGTGATGAAATGACACTGTATTTCCCCTGGGCAGCTCTTTTTGGAAACTGGATCTTAGCAGAAACAGTAAATGAGAGGAGACAGGCTGGGGGCAAAGGGGCCTGAGAGGGTAGCACACGGCCAGACAAGTTCTTGCTGATGCAGAGAGAGGGTGCTCTGAAATTACCTCTCACATGTGCTTGTAGCCACCTCCCGCAGCAGCTCTCACCTCCAGGCACTCACAGGCTCACATGGGTGCATCTCCCAGCCTGTTTCCTTATCCCACCTGTCCTTTGGAGTTGTTTGACAGCATTTTGTGCTGTCTCCACAGTACTGACCCAACTTTCTGAACTAACATCATCTACACCACGGAACCCATCCTCTCCTGAGCAGGCAATGGCCTTTCTCTGTGTGACCCCGAAATGGCAAGAAGAACTGCTCTTTGTAGGCTGGGACACTCAGCTCAAAGGGGAGAGTGCTTACATTGCAGGCTGAATCAGCAAGCAGGGCACGCTCTAAGTCTAAGGGAAAACTGGTTGTTAGAGGCGAAGAATTTCAGAGGATTTGCCAGATCCAATGGCAGGAGACTAAGCACAACATTACAGCTACCCTGGTTGCATCAGAGAACAAGACCTCTTAACTGCAGAAGAAGATTTCCCTGTTTGGATCCCAGAAACTTGTTTTTAAGTACAGAGGAAAATAACAGGCATGACTGATGCAAGCAAGTCAGTCTAAAAAACCTTTCTCAACAAGAAAGGTTTTTTCTTTCTCTTGTTGTTTTTGTTGTTGTTGTTGTTGTTGTTGTTTGTTTGTTTTTTAAGGCTTCTGGCCAGTACAACCACTTCATTTTATTTGAACTTAAAATCTATTTCTTCTTTTTATATTTTACTAGTCACCTTCCTTTTCTAAATAAAAGGTTACTTCACACCAGAAAATTATTTCTTGTTTAGGAAACATCAAAGAACTCTGTCTAATGACACTTTTTAAAGATGTTAATCATTGGAGAGCTAGTTGAGCCTTTTCCCTGTGATAAGGTTGGTTTCTGCCTGCTGTGATTTCTCAGAAAGCCCCCAGCATTTTATGGTAAAATCCCACCCCCAGATCTCTTATCAGGCTGAAAGAGGCAATGCCTCTCTCCAGCTGAAAGAATCCTGGGGAGGAGAAAAGGAAAAAAGCCCTACCATGATCTTAACAATGCAGTCCTTCGTGTTGTCTGCCACGGTGCACTCCACCTCGCCGTTGCTCACCACACTCCAGCGGTCACACTTGCTCTTCTCATCCTTGCCTACTGCACACCACTGAATCTTGTTTTCTCTAGGGCCGACAGTCAACTGATCTGCAAAAAAAATGGCCGGAGAAGAAAGAATAAGCCCAGAGCTCTGCTGAACAACAGGGCCATGGGAAGGCAGTTTCTGGGTGAGGGGGACCCTGCCACGATGCCATCTGCACACAGCCAGCCTCGGGACTGGGACCAGAGGGAGGTGGAGAATGCACCACCTGCTCATGGTTTCGTGAGGTAGCATTTGAATAACCTGTTTTGATGCTATGTGACGTCGATGTGCCTCCTTCCATAAAGGCCATGGTGGCTGAGCCTACCACAGAGACCTCTGCCCTGTGGATGTTAAGTGGCTTTCAGGGGTCATTTGTTGGACATCTGACACAGAAAGCCAGCTAGGACATCAGTAAATGCTTGATGAGTCTGGATGGAAGTGAAGGACCCTGTTTCCCTCGATTGGCCAATGCTGGGCCTGATGTCCTGGGATGTTCCTCCTGATCCTGTACTCTTACATCCCAGAAACAGCTATTCTGAGCAGCAGTTTTGACCATGCCGATTCCCTACCGACCACACAAGCCAATACCTTTCACAGGAAATATTTTATGGAGAATACTGTCTATACTTGGAAAGTCATCTTCCTTTCCCCAGATGTGTTTTATGATCATAACCCTTCAATGCATTTCCCACTGACACTACATCTGTACATCACATCCTGCCCACCTTTCCGGAGGCTCTGGATGGCACTGTAATACTCAAAGCCCAGGTAGAGCTGGGAATCCATCAGTTCTGGGACACGTTTCAGCATTATAGCAGAGTCTTTGAAAAGCAAGTCCTTGAGGACTGGGTCCTTCTTGCCAGGTGGCCCAAAGAGGTGGAAGTCGCTGGTTGTGCCCACGCCAAAGTTGCTCTGCCACAGGGAAAAAATAATCAGAAAACAACTACACCAAAGCATTCAGAAAACTGGAGAGAGCAAGCAAAGCCAGGGGACAGAAGACGGATGGCAAGGGAAGGAAAGCAGAGCTTGCAGGTACCTGTGCTTTTGAGAGAAAACTCCAGATGTCATCAATTTTGCTATCATCCCGAGCCACAACGGCGTGAGCAGCCACTCTGGCCCAGTTACACGTTTTGTAGCTGTCCACAGGCTGACGGGTACCATCCAGACACAGCAGCTCATACTCGTCCTTCTCCTCTGGGGCATTTTCTAGAGGAAGAGGGGAACCATGAGTTGCATCTCCACAAAAATAGACAACGGCCCAGCATGGGGCAACTTTGTCATTGATTTATTCCAGCTGAACCTCAGGGAAGAATTCTTCACTGCAGACAAGTTGCAAAAACCTCTTTGCAATAATGCAAAGGTGTTAGGAGAGATGGGATCACCGTGGTCATACAAAGGCAGTGCAGAAAGAATCCACATGCACATGAGATGATCTCTGCTGCTGCCATAACTAGCCCATCAGTATTTATTCATGTGGCAGTACTGCGTGGACATCCAGGCACATGCATATAGATACGAATACAAATAGATTTAAAAACACCTTACAAGTAGATTTAAGAGGTCAGGCCCCGCACGTGGTCTGTAGAGGCCAGCAGATAGCCAGTGTCAAGGCTGAAAACAGAGCCCAGGTCAGAGGGCACAGGATTACAGGAGAATTCAGGTAGGAAAGGACCTCTGAACATCTCTGGTCCAACCCCCTGCTCAAAGCAGGGCAGACCAGGTTGCTCCATTTGGATCTTGAAAACCTCCAAGGATGGAGACTGCACAGCTGTCCCAGGCAGCCTGTCCCATTGCCTGACTGTCCTTACAGGGAAACAATTTCTCCTTGCGTATGGTCTGAACCTCTCTTTTCAATCCGTTCACAAACCCTGCCTTATGACCATGGTTTCTCATCTTTCCATAGTCCAACTCTGTAACAATCTTGGCTCCACCTCCTTCCTAATCTCCATGTAGGTACAGATGGGCTGCTCTGAGGTCCCCCAAAGCTTTTTCTTCTCCAGGCCGACCAAGCCCACCTCCCCAAGCCTCTCCTCGCAAGACAAGCATCCCTGCCACGTGGCCCTGTTGGGATTTTTGAATTTAAATTTTTGAATTTAAGTTCAAAAGCATTACCATTGGTGCCATACTGCACCAATCAAGCAGGTTTTCCTTCCTCGGAGAAGAATCCGAAAGGAGAATTAGACCCCACCACAATCATATTTTTCAGTAACAAGGATAAGTTAGTCCTGTAATTAATACAGTGTACAAAACGTGTTTCCAGAGTGTAAAAGATCTGAGGTATGAAGTAAGCTAGGAGAGAAACGAAGGTTTGCACAGCGTAGACTAATCCCAGGATGGAGTGGAAGCAACAGGTTGGAATGGAAAGAAGAAACAAGTGGTTTGCAGGCCTACCTTGAACAGTTGTGTGTTTTACAAAAGCCACATCTCCTTTTCCGTCCTTCAGACACCTGTAGGTGAGAGGAAACCGAAGAAATGTTAAAACAAACAAAAAACAACAGACATCACGGCTCCCTGCCTCCTGTTTCAGCAAATTACTTTGGCATAAACTGCAACCGCAGAGCAGCAGTCTTCCCAAAAAGCTGTGCTGGCAGGGAGGTAAATATAACTGGCAGAGAAGTAATGCTCAAGAGACCCAGTTAGAGTTACCACAAGGATATGTAGCATTAGCGTTAGGTCTGTGCAAAATCAGACAGCAGAGCTCCTTCTTTCAGCTCCTGCTGACTGCCTGCCAGTTATTGCTAATTGGGTCTTTAATTACCAGCAGTCCCAGTTCTATACATTCCACCTCATCAGGACCCCTGATTACAGCACAGCAGTCCCTGGTATAACAAAAAATAACTTCCACTCACTGAAAAGCTCCAGAATATCCAGAATAAGGCGCATTGCGGAGGCATTTGGTTTTGGCATCCCCCTTGCACTGACGGCACAGCTTTTGTTCAGTGGTGGCACCAGGCACACAGCTGGCAGAGAAAAACTTGGCCACCGCTGCAGGGGAGAAACATGCAATGGTTAGTCTAAAATTCCCTTTTACAAGGACCTAGAAGGGTTTGGGGGGGGAACACGGAAAGAAACTAAATGCTTCGGTTGCTTTCCAGGTTGCCTCTGAACCTCTGCAGATCAGGCAATGCCGCCTTCACCTTGCCACCACCCCCAGCTTAACATCAGCCCGTTTCTCATGCTGTTCCCCATGTCACCTTGCTCGACTGAGCCTGAGTCGATGCCTTCCCACTCGATGTCTCCCCGGTGGATGAGTGTCCCGATGGGGATGTTCCAGCCAGCGGATCTGCCCAGGCCCGTGTGGCAGGAGGTCTTGCCTCGCAGGTCTTTTATCATGAAGTCTGTTCCTTTCTTAACAACAGCCACAGCATAGTAGCTGGTTGTAGAGCCTGCAGTGCGAGAAGGAGGGAGGTAATTAAGAGCTTTGCTTGAACAAGCCTGGTCTTCCCGTTTTCTCAGGGGTGAGCTGCGCTGCCTATATTGAACCAGCAGTGTACATTACAACAAGCAGTGATAAGCGTCCTGAAAACACTACTACATGCAAAATGCTCTGTCACTGGACATATGTTACGGACATATACTTATAAGGTTGCCTAAACGAGTCTTTTCTCAAACACCATTGCCCACTGGAGCATTCATGCAAGCGTTATAAGTCTGAAATTCCATGTCTAGTCTTTAGAATTACACTAACTCCATCAGTTACATATGAATAAAGTGACCAAGTTTTAGACATGGTCAGGAATGACCCACCCGTGTTGCTTTGATCCTGAATATTGCGTACAAGCAGGCTGACCTCCTGGGCAGAGTGGGAGAAAAGAGATTGGGAGTTTTGGATGTGTGGGATTGCTCGAGGGGATAAAGACAAAACAGAGAAACAGTGTCTGTTCGGCTCCCCAGAGGAGCAAGGGAGAGAGGAAGGACAGCACAGGGAGCTGGCAGGGGTGGAACATCAGAGTAAACTCTTATCAGACAGGACTGCCGCAGGATTTCGTTATGCTCCTCTACATTTTTCTGTGCACTGCCTGCACCTCTTGCCTTGGTTATCTCAACAAGGCACTCCTCCACGACCGCTAATGGCAGTGCTGCTGTGGCTGTAAGCTGGTCTGGCCGATGGCTGCACAGCCAGCTGTGGGGACTGCTGTGCTTTACCCACGCCGTTCAAGGTCACTGATAGCAGAATGAATATCTCTGGGATCTCTTCCAAACAACTTTCATGCCACGTTTTGGGAGGGCTGGCATTTCTGCTGATGGTCATCTCCATCCATGGCCACTGCATCATCATGTCACTGATGACTTTCAGCACAGCTACCAGCACAAACAGGGCACTGGTTCTGTCCCCTTCCATTTTAGTGACCCAGTGGTCACGGGCAGCAACAAATGATTTGCATTTTGGCATTACTGGCTCCCTCCCTTCCCCTGGGGGATCTGGAAGCCAGGGGCAATAGCTCAGACACCCAGCAGAAACAACATGGGAGCACTGGGTGGAAAGGAAGGCCTTTGCGCTACCAGTTTGCTACCACCACTTGGCTTAAAAATGCTACGTGAAAACGTTACCTCCACTTCGCTCGTAGACCTCAGCAGCAATGGGCTTCAGCTTATAGGGGGCAAGGCCTGCCTCGAAAACTTGACCACCGTCCAAGCTAATGGCATCTGCTTCGTTATTCTAAAGAGCAAGAGATTTCAATCAATAAACAAAACGAGGGGAAAACACTTCCCAGCTGCCTCTCCTGGATCCTTGTGGGTGAATCCTTCTCCACAGCAGGATTACCAGTGACTCGAAGGAAACCCTTTCTCCAGGTGGAAGGTGCTGCTGCAACCTCCTCAGCACCCGGCACAGCTGTTTGCTGCCCACTCACCGAGATGGCTTTGATGCAGTCCAGGTATGTTGCTTTCTGCACGCAGCTCAGTGTAACTCTCTCCTGTTGCGTGTGGTCCTTTAGGCTGTTGCATTTCTTCTCTTCTGCTGAGGATATTGTGCACCATCTGACGGTTGTCTTGGGAGGAGCAGCAAAACACAGAGCTGCGGGAAAAAAATAAATAATAATAATAATAAAAGTCATTTCAGAGGGGGAGAAAGCCACCAATGGGGGAGAAACACCAACTCTTGTTCCTTGCAGCCATGGCCTTGGGGGAGCAGCAGGATCTCCTTTGTGCATCTCCTAAGTCACACAGGAAAGGAGTTTCCTTCTCACCTGACGTGTGGACCTTCAGGAGCATCTGGAAGGACCGTCCCCATCCCTGGGTAATGGACGTCCCTGCTCAGCATGGTGACTCCAGCAGCCTGAACTCACGGCAACACCCACAGGGGCAGGAGAACAAATCCAATAGAAACCAAACTCCAAACAGAAAGAAAAGACTGTCCCCTGAAGCGGTCTCTTTGCAAATAACCCCAGAGGGAGAGCAGCTCTCATCTGGCCGGACTATGTTCAGTATGCTGCCACACACAGCTTCCCTGGTGGCCAGCAGATCAGATATATTTACCTCTCTGCTCCCCATCTCCTCCAGCACAGGCAGCAACCAAGGTGCTGTACCGCCCGCACACAGCCTCAGCCCTCTCTTCTCAGGGTGCCCCACCAGTAAATGCAGCTGCCTGGCTGTGCTGGGAGGCTGATCAAGCAAAGACCGAAGGTCAATGCAGATGCTTGACTCCTTCAGCAACCTAAGCACCAGAGATGTTGGAAGCTTGCAGTTAAAGTGCTCAACTGGTCCCACACCTGCACGTAGCTCTGCCCCTTCCTGGCAGGATTGTACAGACCATGACACGCACACTTCCCTTTCTCCAGGCACATTTTGTTCACATGCATCTCCCAATTAACCCGTGCTGTTCCCATTTTCTTTTTCACCTCTGAAACATTCTGTCTTTTTGACTTTTCGAGCCATGACTCCACCAGCAGACACCTCCTGCTCCTCCAAGTGGAAATGCTGACTTTGGCCACACGGGGAATTCATAGCCCTAATTCTCATTGCCTAAATCTACATTGTTCACCTTTTGGCTGGAAAAAAAAAAAAAAAAAAAGCCATGGCCAGCTTAATGTGGGGCTGAAACCATCCCGCCTTGGGCAGGAGCTGGTCTGGGTCCTCCTGAGGGCCCCTCCACCAGTGCTGGCCAGTGGCCATGGCACGAGCAGCGGTGACAGCCAGCACGCCACTGCTTTGCTTCATGGCACTGCTCAGCCTGGCTGCACTGGTGAGCACTGGAAAGGTGAGGGCAGCCCCAGTGCCTCAGCCCCTGTTGCACAGCATTTGGACAACTTCCATGCAGCAGGGAAGGAGGGATGTCCCCAAGAGGACACCAGTCATCACCGTGCTTTATGGGAGGTCAGAAAGGACCTGCTGCTCCCTCCTTCCCGTGTTGGGTGTATGCAGCAGCAGTATCCTTGCCATGACTCGCTGCCCCTTGCCTGCCCGAATCGAGAGAGGAGAGGAATCTGTGCTTCAAGCAGCACCAGCTCTGCAGCGGCACACTCCGCATGTGAAATGCACGAGCAAAAGCACAGCGGTGGCAGCAGGACAGCGCTCCGCTTGTTGAAAGCAGTCCAGGAGTTTCCCAAGCCCAGCGGAGAAGGGCTGGGAACAGGGCAAGCTGCTGGGGGACACCAGCCTCCCCCCTGGCTGCAGGAAGCCTCGGAGGTCCACGAGGGGAGCAGCACCCCGGGGGCGAGCAGAGAGGTGAGGAACGGCAGCACCACTTTGCAGCCCCTAAGCAAACTTCTGGGGGAGCAGCAGGGGAAGCCTGCAGGGACTCCTGTCAGGGGTCTTTCCGTTATTTAAGCTCTGTTTTAGTGCAGCTGCCCTCAGGTTTAACCCAACGCACGGGCAGGTTGGCGCTGGTTTAACCCCACGCATGGGGATGCTCCTCTCCTGGCACAGCAGCTGCCGGGGGATGGGGGGGGGGGGGGGGGAGAGGGGAGCTTTTCCCCTTGCCCTGCACTGAGCTGCTGTTGTCAGTGTTCAGAATAGGCATCCTCATTTACAGGTACCCATAGCTGCCAAAACGGGCAGGTTTTAATTACTCAGCTGCCAGGTTTAACTTAGGAGCTGCCTGGTCTGGCACATGCTGCAGTTGCTCCTGTAAAAAACAGCCTGGGCTAGGGAGAAAACCTGTGGTCCTGGGAGGTCCGGGCTCCTCCATTCCCCCCCAGCCTGCTTTCAGCACACACTTACCAGCTATCCCTAGGGACAGCACAGCGGAGAGCACAAGTTTCATGCTGGAGCAGGAAGTCGGGTGCCAAGGAGGGGCTGCGGTGGTCGTGGTCACAGACCGTCCCCTCCGGGTCTGTGATGGCTCTGGAGCCGCTTTCTCCCCCTTTTATAGAGAAGCAGCCCTGGCTGTGTTTGCAGAAGCAATGACCTAACACTGTTTGTCCTTCCTTGTTTCTCAATAGCCGCTAAATCGCCCCCCTCCCTGGATCAGCCCATTTTTAGGACGCCTTTCACTCTTTGGCACTGAACCCCTTCGCAGGCAGGAGTCGGAGCAGGCAAGGTGCTTTTTGTTTTACAAGGGGCTCCAAATGGAAAATTCCCAAGTCGTGACACATGAATTCCCCTGCAGGCTGAAATGCCACAGGAGGGACTGTTTTCTCTGTGGTGGCTACCCCCTGCCTTGCACAGCCTAATCTCAGAAAGTCCCTGCTGGATCCAGCCCTCGGTTTCACGTGTCTGCCAGTAACTTACTGTTGTGCCCAACAGCCTTTGGCTTGCTTTCTCCCTTGCACTCCCTTGGCAGCGTCAGCAGGGCTCAGAGGCAGTAAATGTTCCTTCCAGATGGTCTGGCAAGCTCCTTGCACAGGCAGAGAAAGCCAGTGGCCACAACCGGATAGCTCGATAGCACCCTGCAGCTAGCAGGAAACACCACACCTCATCTTCCGTAAGCTGTTGTTGTGATGATCCTGGGAAGAAATGCTGAGCTCAGGGGTCCCCTTCCTCTGCAAACCCTCTCTACCCGATTGCACCACTCCCTGTTTCCCTCCCTGCAGCCAGGACTGGGGGGCACAGCTAGGTTTATGAATGTCTGGCTTCATGATGCTGCCACGAGCTCCACGTCCCCATCTTTGGTACAGGCTACAAGACCAGCTGCAGGATGACTTTGACAGATGCACACGAAATGGAAGCCCCTACACCACAGCAGCTGGCCACGTGCCCCAGCAGCATCCCTGGCCAGCAGCTGCCAGGGCTGGTCCTGCTGCTGTGTCCACCAGACACCAGCTACACGAGTGCTGTCGTGGTGGGGTCCGGCTCTGGGGTTTGATCTCCGGAACAGCAGTCTCCCTTTGTGGTCTCCTGGATGCCCCCGCATGGGTCCAGCCTAGGGATATGGCAGCAGCATCTGCAGGGGTTCCCTCAGCTTGGCTAGTTCCCATTTCTCATCCCTTCGTCCCCTGCTTTCCCAGAAGGGCAGTGCTTCTGGTGGCCAGAGCTTCTCCAACACGCCATATACAAGGGGGGAAAGGATTTGCTCCCATAATAAGGCAGTGCCACTCCTAAACCACCTCCCTCCCTGTTAAAAAACTGGGTTCTCCCATCCGTATTAACTCCAGCAAGCTAGAGGTCCTGACTCCACAAACTAAGTGGTTACAGCAATAGGCAGAGCTTTTACCACCTGACAGATGAAGTGGAGAGATGCAGAAGAAAGCTTGGAAATCCTAAAGGATCAATTCAAGAAGCAGAGGAGCAGTTGCTGGAAAAGGTCATATTCCCTTGCTTTCTGCTCATGCTGAGATAGCTCCGTGCTCAGTGGGGCAGTTCCCAGCCTTTTTTTTGTACCTGGACCCCCCCTTACTCCCCACCTGCATCGCACATCCCACCTCCATCCCCAAGGCATCTCTATACCTGCCCAGGGGACAGCAGTGCTGCCGGGGTGGTTTTCATTCCACACCTCCTCCCCTTGTCATACAAGAGAGTCAGCAGGGTGCATCCAGGAGAAAGGCTCGGACTGCAAGAGATTTTACTGCTTACCTCCTGTACTCCTTTACTGCTTAGCCAGTAACCTCCTGGATTTCCAGACATCCAGCCTGCAGTCACCCCAAATGTCACTGGCCGTGTACAGAGCAGCTCCTACGCCTCTTTTGGATGTTACCTTTCTCCATGTCGGGTTTCCACTCTCCATCTTGTGGCTGCTCCCTGGGTGGCTTTGCTTTCCACAGCCAAGATCTGCTGCCCCAGTCTGCCCCAGGGCAGCTTAGGGGAGAAGAAATTCACCTTAAGGTGACCTATGGCAGAGGCACAGCAGGCTGGTGCTGTGTCCTCCAGACCATCTGGGCTTGAGGGCCCAGACCTGGGTCCCCAAAGGACCCAGCAGGCCTCTAAGATGCCCTTTTCTGGAGCATGCCTTCCACCAAGGGAAACCTTGGATGCAAAGAGCAAAATACTCTGGGTGGCCTCCATCTGCAATGACATCCCTTTGGAGCCCAGGAGGGACAAATGTCTTGGTGCAACCAACTTCTTCCCCTGAAAGTCTATCAGACCCCTGCCTTTCCAAATTTTGTGTTAGAAAATGCACACTTAGCGATCCAGAGAGTCCTCTGTCTTGTACAGAGATACACACACGCCTTTCAACAAATTCTGGTCGGAAGCATACCTCACTGCCTGGTTGCACGGTTTGGTGCAAAAAGAGAACTTTTGCCTTGCCCAAGTACATGAAAGGCCAATTAAGCTGAGATTAAACAGGGAGGGCCAATTCTTACTAACGATGGTAATTCTTTTTGTCTTTCAAGGTAACAGGTCAAGGCTCAGGCTCGTGCAAGCAGGGGCAGCTTTATCAGAAAGAAGATTGCTCAGCCAGTGCACCTCGGGCTTTAGCTTTGTTATTCAGGAAGAATCAAGTCTTCTAAAGTATGTCTTCATGAGACAAGCTGAGATGTTATTATGCATTACAAGTTCGTTGTGTTGCAACTCTACAGATCCTGACCGTTCTGTTTTCAGAAAGAGGATGCTGCTAAAAATTACATGAATGATGAAGAAATACCAACTTACACACCCTCCGACCAACTGCAGGCCATTGGTGAGGCACAAACACATCTGACCTCCAGGAGAAGAGGGGAGTTTGGCCCCAAGTTGGGTAAAATTGAAGATAAAATTATAGCACTTATTTCTACATCCCTTCATGGAAAAAATTATTACTCTAAGCCCACATGGATGTGCTGCGGTTTGTGGTTGAGATGAGGCCAGGCTGGAGTTTTGGCTGTGTCCTGAGGAGAGAACATTTGTTGTGATTGGGCTGGGATAAAGATAGAGTTGGCACAACCGGCTGGGAGAGGGCTCAGCATCCCCACGGTGCTGGCCCTTCCCCGCAGCACAGCTCGCCCTGCAGCCAACACAGCTGGACACAAGCTCGGGTTGTGCAGATACATGGGGAAAACATTAACCAGGCAGGGGAACCACACCGACACAGCCATCCCACCCGACTCTCTGGAGCAGCTATTTCCATAGCGATGTTCCCAGCAGTGGGGGCCATCGGAGCTAATGCTGCCATGCCCAGGGGTCACCAGACCGGCATTTGCACGAAGACCTGGGTCACCTTGAAAGATTAAGGAGAAAAAGCATAGAAAATGAGGAGGAAAAAAAAAAAAAAAAAAAAAAAAGGAGGGAATCAATCCAGACCCTGAGGTGGGATCAGCTGAGGGCAGAGGGCAATATACACCAGGACTTCAGGCTTATCTGGAGAGCTTGGCTTGTTTCCCTCTAGAAATGGGTTACCTAGTTTGTGGGCTCAGGCAAGGCTGGAGCCTGCCCACAACAAAGATACCACGGTCAGCCACGAAAGCTGGGCTCGGATTCTCATCTGTCTTCTCCCACAGCTCATGTCACAGCAGGTGAAGGTGAGCAGTAGCCTGATGGGAACCCGTTCTTCCAGACCTTCTTTCCCTGATCCTCTGTCAATTTCCAGGGTAGGACACGAGACCGAGACAGGCACTGGGCTGGCAAAGGCTCCCACCTCAGGAGGTGGGGACGACGTGTGGGTACCAGGAGGGGCAGGGAGAAATCTTCCCCAGGGCCCACATACCTGGTCAGCAGAGGCATCCGAGGGACAGCCCAGCCCTCCTGCCCAGTGCCACAGCACCTCCTGGAAGAGGGGCCATCCGCTTGTCCCCTCAGTCTTGCAGGAGTTGGAATCCACAACACGTGAGCATCAGCCCCGTAAGCCTCTCTGTGGCCAGCAGTGGACTGGGACCAGTCTGGAGTTCCCTGTGGCTCCCAAAGACTCAAGAGCATCCTTCAGTCTTTCCAGAAACTTGCTTTCAGCCCCTCTCTGGACCTAGGGGCCACTTTCAAGGCTGTGCTCCAGCTCCAGAGTCATTGTGGTTAGTTTATTTTCAGGAAATGCCACAAACCAGTTTCCCCACTGGTTAGGAGAAATATTTGGTGTCAGGTTTGGACTGTGTTGCAATATGCTGTTTTCTACCTGGGATGAGCTCAACTGGCCAGTGGAGAGTGGGAGCTGATGTTCTTTGAATCAATATTTGCTTCTAAATGTTGCTTAATTTCTAAACTGCACACAGCAAACAAAGAGCTCTCTGTCGATTTTAAGCAGCTCTTTCCGGCTCAGATCACTAGACCCAGCTACAGGCTGTAGCCTCTTTTCCAGAGCTGCTTACCGTCTCATACCATTACGGGCTGGCATTTTTGGCTAGCTGCTAACAGCAGCCCAGCTGGCAGGTACCAGCACTGCAACCCTTTCTGCCTTGCACAGCAGCTCTGCAGGACAGTGCCTCCATCCTCTCCGTGCACAGCTCCTCTCCAGCAAGTGCCAGACGGGCCAGCATCAGGAGGAACAAGGTTTTCTTGGTGGAGAAGCTGCCTTCAAACACGCCACCAACAACTCCTGCTGCTGAAGTCAGCGGTGGTTTAAGCTCTGGCAGCCAGAGGCTGATGCAAAACTCTCTTAGCCTCTCGGGTGCGTAATTAGTGACATTCCTCCTAGTGAAAGATTCCAATTTGCTTGATTAACTCAAGGGTTGAAGGGGTTACAGCAACTCTAGACAGCCTTGGGAACTGCAATATTCTTGATGGGCTTTTGGAAGGGAGCAGAAAAAAGTGCAGTGGGTTAATCATTCCTGCTGAAGACCTGCTTGCAAAAAGCACTGTTGGAGCCTGACGTTCACCCCTGTTTCTTGAGTAGTTTCCAAAGATCTCTGGGAACCAACCAGCAAATACTGATAGTCGGGAAAGACTGCCATATCGGGAAAGTCTACTGCTATCAGGAAAGGCCACCTCTGGCTCTGTTCCTGCAGCCCACATGCCCAGGCTCTGCCCTGGGTGGTGGCACAACTCTCATGGCCACAAAGCAGGGCGCCAGCCTGTTTCCATGGGGGCAGGTACCCATGA